CAAGGGTAAAATCACTGTTTGGCTGAAACATAGTGTGTAGGTTCCTTAACATGAGTTTCATTCCATAATCATGTAATACCACTTGAAACAACTTGTAATCCTTGCATTTAACCTAGGTTTAACATCATATTCTTTCTCCCCTAACCTTAACACAATTCGGCCACCATCCATACCAAGGAGAAACCACCAATTTCAACCATAAAACTCAAGAAAACTAATCAATACACAAGGTAGAACAAGGTAGAACGTCAAACTAACCTTATAATACTCTTTTGTAATAATTTGATCCTATATGGAGGTTATATTATCCCATAATTTAGTTGTCAATTGACAACCTCTGACTTGTCAATAACTTCACATTAACTTGTTGATCCATGCCTATGAGCTTGTCAACCAAGATAGAAACAATGATGTAATTTTTTATTCAGAATATATTAATCTCAAGTCTCATGGGACCTTCTATTTACTTTAAGATTTTAAGAGATCTTAAATTAATAAATTATGTTATTTGAGATGTGTGTAATTTGTTTTTTGTTCCTTTAGTAAGAGCTAGGGCTAAAGCGACTTCTCTTCTTCGTCTGCAGATTGTCAAAGATTAGTGCACTCAAGTATGGGTTAGGGAATGCGAGGCGCATGGATGCATTTCTGTTGGTGTTTATTGCTCATATTTTTTTGGATAAAAGGGTAAATTTACTTATTATAATATCAGAAAAAGTACTAGACACCATATTAAAATATTAGGAGAAAAAATACTTATCAACTTTTTAAAACAGATTAAAAATGTCATTCTCGTTAAGTGTCCTTAACGTCTGTTTTTTTTGTTTTTGTATGGGGTCCTACCAAACATACACTTGTCAAATACTTTGCCATGTAAGCTCCCATCTTGGTCAATTCAATCTCACACACCTATCCTATCTCTGTCAAAGCATTACATGGTAGCTTAGGATGCACTAATATTGTGGACCCATCCCTCTCTCTCCTCCATTACTCACTTCTAGTCCTCTCAAATGCTGTCACAGCACCCTCACTTTTTCCTTTTATTTCTCGCTCGATCTCCTTACCTCTCTTCTTCGCCTTTTCTCTTTCCCAAAATTGGACACACACTTGCCGGAATCTGGAAGCCATGAATGTCGGCACCGCACCTTCTTGCAATCTCAACAAACTCCTTAGTCAGCTTACCCAGGATAACATTTCCCAGCTTACCCGTGAAGACTGTCACATATTTCCTTTTTCCTTCTCTCTCTTACATTTTTTATTTCCCATCTCATCGCCGGCACTGCCATCTTTTGTTGCATTCTCTCTTACGACGAGATTGTCCGTTTGATTGAATAGCCTGAAGCTCGCAATTTCTCAGATATGGGTCATCGATTTTTGCAGATCATTTCATAGATCTTGTTGTTCTTCTTCCTCTCGCATGGCATCAAATTGTCTTTGATTCCTCATCTATAGGTCTTCAATTTTTTTTCCTTCTCATGATAGTTGTTTGTCTTTGAAAGATTGGTTATGCGTGTTTGATATTGTTGAGAATAACTGTTTCTGAGTTGGATTACATTGTGCTTGATGTTGATGATTTACTCTCATGATTCTTCACTGATGATATTGGTTTGAGTAATAATGGTCAATGATGATTACCATGGTTCTTCACAGTTTCTGATTTTGTTCTTTGTTCTGATTTCGTGTTTTCCAATCTTCTTCTACTTCTCATCCTTTTAAATACTTGATTACTTGTGACTTGTGATTTGCGGTTTTTTGGTAAGATGGTTAACATCTAGATAATGTATGATTCTTTTTTGGGTTTTTTTTGTTTGATTAATTTTTTTGGTGGAAGGAGCAGGACAAAATGGACGGGGTTGATGATGACGATGATTCTCTACTGGCGGGAAGGCGACGATTGTGAAGGGGAGGAAGAATTTTTACAATTGTTTTATTTCTTGTCCAACTCAGATACTATTCTGCCATATTTGCCTCCACATCATCATTTTTAGTTAAAAAGTTTTTTTTAACAACATTACCCTGTTTAACGGCAATGGGATTTTAGATCTTTTTTTGAATCATTATGGTTATTTTTCTCCCGGTATTTTATTATGATAGCTGACACTCTTTTTTAATATTATAATAGGTAAATTTGTCTGGTCGTATTGGGGCAATTGTGTTTTGCTCTAATTGAATAAATTTAACAGGCTTGTCTTTTCTTATACTTTTTTTACTGGTTGAATAAATTTGTCTTTCGCAAAAAAAAAAAAAAAAGACAATAAGCATAGTGCGAAAATAGATATAAGTGTTTGGACAGAAACAAAATCATAATTTTAAAAGTGTTTTCACAATATATAAAGTAAATATGCAAAAGAGTTTATTTCGATTTTAAAAAAAAAGTTTTTAAAAAACACTTTTAAGGTTATCCAAACACCCTCGTAGTTAGAGCAATGTTTGAGTGGCATTTTAGGAGGTGTTTGACAATTTAAAAAAAAAAAAGCTTTTTGACTCCAAACCATGGTTTTGGCTAGACATTATCCAAGCGGGCAAATTTTTTAGAAAACCTTGGTTTGGTCCAAAACCAAGGTTTTTGGCCTCCAAAATCATTGTTTTATGAAAAGCCAAAAAATGTTGGTTTTTAAAAAATGTGATTCTTTTTTTTTTCCTTCCTACATTGTAATACTATCTCAAATCCTTAATATAACAACTTGTTGATTAATTTGAATATATTAAAAAAATTAATTAAATTAGCTATTTGTAATAAATAGATGTTATTTTTCCTAAAATACTCTTTCTATTCATGTGTATTTGTTAGAAGTACCATTCAATAAAAGATTTAATATGTGTAACAACTACAAGGACTACTTTGAAAAAAATAGATAAATATGATAAATAAAATGTATCGAGATTTTATATTTAAGAGCAAATTGAATATCAAAATAGCTCTTATATTAAAGACCAGAATTAGTATATTGTTAAAAAAAAGCTAGTTGTGAAAAAAAAATATTATGGGGTTTCATATTTAAAATCTTTAAGGTAAAATAATATTTTTCTGTTGGCAAAAAAAATCATTTTTCTAAAAACATTTAATCTTATATTTAGAAATATATATACACATATTAATTATTTATTAATTATATTTTTATATATTATTTATTATGTTGGCAAAAAATATATTATTAACAAATTTATTACTTCAAATAAAAATATATTCTAAAATCTATCTTTTATGTAATTATCATATTAACTTATGTCTTTTTTAATAATTTATATATGTAAAAAATACTTCTATTGATGACTATCCAAACACTCTTACTTTATCAAAATCACTTTTTTACAAAATTTATTCTTTTAAAATCCATTCTCAAAAATAACTTTTTTCTAGAAACTATTTTTTAAACCATAATTTAATTTTATCTAAACACCTTCTTAAAGAGCTTTTAAGGGTTAAAAGCACTTTTGGCATGTTTGATGGTATTTGGAATAGCTTAAAAAGCTAAAAGCTTATATCAAAATAACAAAAAATTAAGTCAAAGGCTAAAATTTGATGTCTTTGATGTTAGAAAAGGAGAAGAGAAAAAAATGTGGGCCTTACTTTAAAAAATTTACGGCCATAGGGAGAAGTTAAATCACCAAGAGAGCATAAATTAATTCCTACTCTTTAGATTTTATTTATAAGACAAAGAGAAAAGAAATTTTATTGTTTCCTTTATATTGTAGAGAGAGAAACTTTTCTTTGAATGTATAATTTTACACTTCATTAATTATTTGTTGACTTTGTTTTCATGATGTTTAATTATATTAAATAAAAATAAAATTAAAAACTTATTTAATTTTAAATAAGAGTTAATAAAATTTAAAATTTTTCTTAGTTTGTTTGAACTATAGGACCATAAGAGTAGTCTTTACACTCCATAATATAATATGTTAGTTAATCTTGTTCACAAAATAGGGAATGTTAGTTAAATCATTAAATACTAGCTTCAACTTTTAATATAAGATCTCATTTAACTTTTATTTTGGTCCTAAATATAAAACCCCAATCAAGTTTATCTCTCATATTTATTCATTTTTTTCAAGATGGTCATTCTAATAATGACAGTTCAAACCAATAAACTTGATTAGCAAAAATATTTTAGAAAAGACAATACTTATTTATTACAATGTACTCAAATTAGTTAACCAGCACTTATATTTAGGGTTAGAGGTAATATGTTTTAATTTTTTGAGCTGCGTGATTTAGTTATTTGATGCTTATATTTTGAACTAAAAAGAATGTTATTTAAGACCATTTTAAGTTATTTTATAAACAAACTTGCATTTTCAATAATTATTCAAAGAATTTTACTTTCACAAACCAATTTATTTACAAAGCTAATCCAAACAATTTTTTACTTTTAAAAATTAACTTTTATAAAATCAAATCTAAATATAAATCACATTATCTAATCTAACTTCTATCTAATCTAACTTTTTTTTTGCTAAAGCATAGGTATCCTTCTATTGGAGACAATCCTATTTGAGATATTGTTGGGCACTAAATATGGATATCTCTCCCAGCAAGAATTCGAATCTTGGTTCACTACGTTGTGAGGAACTAGCTTCTTCCGCTAGATTATAACCCTGTTGGTTAATCTAACTTTTTTAAAAATCAAATTGAAATAAGTTATTTATTTTACTACTAATCCATACGGACTCATGGATATATCTGTTAGCGGTAATGCCCCACTATTTTTTTTTTTGGCATAGGTTTTTTTTTTTATGAGAGAGAGAGAAGAGATAAAAAAAAAAAAAGAATAAAATTGGTTACATGTGTCATTTGGCTCCGACCAAAAGAAAATAATTTTTTTTGGGTACAGAAGAGAAAATAACAATTGGTTACATGTACCGCCACTTGGTCTCTCTGATATCCACAGGAGACCACACCACAAAAACGGAATCATGTGTGCAAATTTTATTTTTATTATGTTTTTTTTTTTTTAAATTCTCTTCATTCCTGATTCGTTCTTCGCATTTTTGGCCGAAGTTCTTCCCCGTTATTATTGAAACAATACGACATTCCCACTGTAGTCTTTAATCTATCAAGTGTGGAATGGATATGGAAAAGCTTATGCATGCGGTTCGGTACCATGGGTATGGTGGAGGCCCTTCTGCCTTGAAGGTTTTCTCAGCTTCATAGCTTTCTCTGTAGTCTTTGCTGCATTTTCTTTCTCTTCCAATTTATGTTTAATGGAATTTCTTTTCCTTTTCTTGTCTCATTAAAAGGAGGAAATGCGGAACTTTGATTTGGGGCTGAACATACAAGTCTTAATGTGTCGGCGTTTTTTTACTAAAAAAAAAAAATCATCAGTGATGTAACTTGATATTACTAAATGACCGAAATTGTTTACTGTACTGTCATTCCACCAGCTTCTTTTATGTTAGAGTGGAAGATTTCAGTGCTTTGAAAGTCCATGGATTCTTTGGAATAAGAATCATATGTATTTTTTATACATCATTTGAATCTAATAATTGATCATTGATTTGCTGTATCTGTATTCTGAAGGATATCTCCGGGGTGGTGGTCAGACATACATGGCTCAATAGATCTTACTTTGTCAATGATAAGGCTAGTTTTAAACTGGATGCTTAATTTCAAGCATCAGTATAGTATTGAATAGCTGCATTGAATAGTTTAACTAAAACAAATCATGCGAATCTAGTGCAGTAGTTGATGTCATACTAAATTTCAAATGTAACTTCACACGGCAGAATGCATCTGGGAAAACAAGAAAAAGAAAAGGCAACTCTGGGGTCACTGCTCCAAGATTTTGTATTCCGCCCTAATGCCCCTTGTCCTTTTGATATTGAAAAGAAGAACGAAGAAAAAGAAAAAGAAAAGGAAACTCTCTGGTTTCGGATCATTCATATGGCATTTGCTGAGATTTGTTTAATTGTGTTTGAAACCATATATCTCTGTAGATAAAAACTTAGTAGATTTTATTGTAAGCATTGGCTGTTTGAGGAAGCAATGATAGATCATGGTTCATTGGCTGAATGATTTTATGGAGGATGGGTGGACATATCATTTCTATTCATGTGTTGCATGCTTCAGGAAAATCACTTTTTTTGAACTCATGTTACGGGGAAATGTTTATTTTACCATTTATCAATGGTATTGATGTTTATGCTTTATGCTTATTGCAGCATGACCAAGCTCCTATACCCAATCCAAACAAAGACGAGGTTTTGATCAAAGTGGAAGCATCTAGTATAAATCCATTTGATTGGAAAGTTCAAAAAGGCATGTTGTGGCCACTTTTACCTAGAAAGCTCCCTTATATACCCGGTACCTTTCCTTTTCATTTCTGTAACCTTCATATAAAAGATACTTATCTGTACTTAAATATGTGCAAAACTGCAAAACTCTTATAGCAGTATTTTCATGAAGGTGTCTTTCAGTAGGAACTGATGAGTATATCTATATCTCCTAAAGCAAGTATATGAAATTTATATGTGATATATTTCCCTTTCAAGTAACATTTGCCACTGCACTGTCAACTCCTTTGTCCTGTATATATCACGACTACTTTGTGCCAGTGAACTGAATTTTTGGCTATTTTGAATGGCATCTAATATATCATCAATGGCCTATCTACGTTCATTTCTGAATGCACTTAAACATATCGTAGTGGAGATGCATTTCTATAACTTCCCCACACGATCAGTAAAATATCTGGAATCAAGAGTACGTAATTGTTATCATGTCACTTGCATGATACAACTGCACAGTTTCATATCCAACATGGCATCGAGAGCTTCAGATATATGCAGCTACTATTGGTGTGGCTTGTCGGCTTGTCAATTCAACTTACCATATGGTTTACAAATTTGAATTTTGCACCACCAATCTTTGTAAATCACTGAACTGGGAATACTCCATGCCAACGCAGGAGTTGATGTAGCCGGAGAGGTCATTGAGGTTGGTTCAGGTGTTAAAAGATTCAAGCCAGGAGACAAAGTTGTATCTGTTGTTAATGTCTTTGGTAAGTTGTCTTGCACATGATATTTGTTT